GACTTAAAAGTATCTATACTCTTCAATCCCAAAATAAATTTTATATACAGGGTGAATTGCTACTCGTGCTACAAACTTCACCAGTAGATTCTTGACCCTAAAATGAACAAAAAAGTTCATATTGACCATGGTCCGATTCTCAACCATTTCAGAGTAATTTCGCTTTTTATCGATTTTGAAAGATATCACGTCCTGGCGTCGGAAAATCGTGATATCTTTTAATCTAAACATTTCTCTTAAAATCTATAAGCACCGTTGAAATCCCCGTTAATTTTTAGAGAGAATCAAAATCATAATTCCATTGAAATTTTTTAATTTAATTTAATGCCCATTTAGTATGTAATGCTTAAGAAGTTTACAAACAGCTAGAAGGTCAAGGAAGAAAGACCCAAACGTTTTGCCACCTTCATCTTCTTATTGAAAAATTAACGGGGATTTCAACGGTGCTTATAGATTTTAAGAGAAATGTTTAGATTAAAAGATATCACGATTTTCCGACGCCAGGACGTGATATCTTTCAAAATCGATAAAAAGCGAAATTACTCTGAAATGGTTGAGAATCGGACCATGGTCAATATGAACTTTTTTGTTCATTTTAGGGTCAAGAATCTACTGGTGAAGTTTGTAGCACGAGTAGCAAGTCACTCTCAAACATTAGCAATCCTTGAACCACCATTTTTTCTCTTTTTGTCATCAACATCTTGGTCTCACAACCACTAAATAAGAAAATGACGAGTGCGTTGGAAGCGTTATTAAATCAGGTAGTTTTCCTCAAATTTGCTGCCTTCTGAGACTAAAATTAGAAACTCTGGATTACTTTATACACTTTCCGATTTACACAATTTTCCACTCTTTTTGTAGTTCTGGCTGAAATAAAACACAAAAAATTAGCCCAAACATTTTGCCACCGTCATCTTCTTATTGAAAAATTAACGGGAATTTCAACGGTGCTATTAGATTTTCAGAGAAATGTTTAGATTAAAAGATATCACGATTTTCCGACGCCAGGACGTGATATCTTTCAAAATCGATAAAAAGCGAAATTACTCTGAAATGGTTGAGAATCGGACCATGGACAATATGAACTTTTTTGTTCATTTTAGGGTGAAGAATCTACTGGAGAAGTTTGTAGCACGAGTAGCAATTCACCCTGTATATACATACATACATACATACATACATATAAATGCTTCTTTATCATCTATCAACAATGGTTCTCTAAGTTTTGGCTTTTGAATCATCTATTTGTTTCAGGATTTGTAAAATTGTACCGAAATGACCTTTATATCCAATAGATTTCTGGTCTACAAGAGACTCGATCGTTCATGGCTTTTTTCGACTTAACTAGTAGTAATCTAAAATAATCCCCTTAATAATTATAAGTTAACACTAAATATTAGGAGCAAACTTATCTACTTTAATTACTCCCTTCTGAGAGATAATGGGTATAATTTCCACTTTATAATTCCCATTGTATCATAATTAAATATTACTATAACTTATATCATTATAATTAAAACAATTTTAATAAATAACAACTCTCATCATTGTGTTTTTCTCATTATTTACTGTTTAATTTTTCAAGCCATTTCACTAGGCTCTACGCAAGGATCCTGAACGAATACATAGAAATGTTTTTCGCAAATTGAGGAGGTGGTTTAAAAGATATGACATACTCAACCACACGGAAGAAAGTAAAAACATGATTCAGGTCGTGAGTGAAATTAGGTTATTGGTGAATGTATTTTCCGTAATCGATTTTTGTTGATGTCGTGCTAGCTGAAATAAACTGATTTAAGTTCGTCTAACTAATTCATAAGAACAACAACGAAACGATCCATGGTTAAGACGTAGTTTTGATAGTTGATAGATCAGGTTTTCCAACTCAATCGCCCAAATGGTTTTGTATAACAATTAAATCTATTGTTTTTCTGGCCCGACGGCAGAACAAAAGCCTCGCAGTTTCCATTTATAAAGGAAGATGGATGGGGCGTAATGGCCGTTCTCTGAGTGGTTTTCAGTGAGAAACCCGGCAATATCGTTGTCCGTCGAAAAGGTGGACCGGGGGCGAAGGGATTCAAACACCCCCCATGTATCTCCAGTAATAAACACAGAAACCTCAATTAAGTTGAAACTCGTACACTCCAGTTTGAAGCGAAATTGAGGAATGTTACGACCTTCAAATAACACAAACACCCTGAATTTGATGTTTACGATACTGGCGTTAGAATTCTGGGCTTAAATTCAATGATAAAAAACGAAGGGAAAAGAATCAAGATATGCAAAATGATGAGATGGGTAACTAGATTCAGTTGCTGAGCCCTTTAACAGCCTGTATCCCCTGTTCTGTATCCCTGCGAGTCCTCATTGACCGACCAATTGGATTAATTGAATCATTTGTGATGTATGTACCGTAGCACTTCGTCCTTCAGGTAAGTGTTGCATCACAGTCTAAAGCATGTTAGCGTTTCCTCTGCTTCTTTGTAGGCAAATCACAAAGATTAGTTAATGCTAACCTCATACGTCTATTGAGTTTGAAATACCTGGTCTGTAAATCTGTAAATTCAAAGTATATTTGACATGTAGTATGTTTTTCTTCAAAAACAAAATCCCGTCGTTTTTTAAATGCTTTGATGTTTATGAAATCGATTTCGGGGGCTTCCCTCTCATCTTCAGTTTTACTCTCTAAAATTATAAATTAGTATAGGTTTTAATATTAAAATGTTTATATTTAATTTATTATTAATCAATGTATTCTTCCGAGCACCTGCCTTGGTTTATTTGCTGACACATAAACCGGGTAGGTTACTCGTTTACTGTTGACGAATTTTATTTTTATTTTGTTGAATGTTGATGTTACTGTTATCTATATTGATGTAAATGTTTTCCAACTATAATAATTTTACATTATTGTTTTCTCTACTTAGTATTTTTACATCCTGAACATTTATATCATGTTCTGAATTTTGTGATACGTTGACCTAAACTTTTTTTTATTATTTACATCTTGCTTGTGTTGGTTTAGCCTTTTGTACAAAAAATGTATTGTTTTTCCTATATAGGTTTTTTGACAGGTGTATTATTTTAACTTATAAACTATTATTCGGTTTTTATTTTTCCAGTAGGATATTTATAGGAGGTAATAAAATGTATACCTTTTCACTGATGTGTGGATAAATTATTTCTTCTTTTTTGCAAATTTTTATTATTTTTTCAGTGAGGCCATCAACCAAAATTAACCCCTACATATTGAGTTACTTCATTTTGTTCAATCTTTCGTTTTTTCTTTTTCTTTTTTAGTACTCTTTTTTCTCCTTTGTTTCTTATTCTTTCTATAAGATTTTTTAGATAATTTTGTTTTATTAGTTTTTTTAAATATTTTTGGATACATCTGTGAAACGGTATATCTGATAATTCATAAATTTTCCTACTATATTTTTAATAGTATTAACTCTTTGGGTTGGAGAAATAGTTTAATATTTGTTCAGAACTGGTAGGTTTTTTATATAGATCAATTGTGGGTTTACGGTCTGCATTTTGGATGATTGATAAATCCAAAAATTGGTAACTTTTTTTTTCTAAAGTTCTCTTCTATCCAGAAGAGATCCAGCCCGTAAAAGGAAAAACCAAAGAGACATAGAGTATATTTGATTTTCCTACGATGGTTTCTGTAGACTTTAGACTATAGACCTTTCAAATCTGTCAAGGAGGTGGATTTTTAAGAAACCCAGTATAAAATGATTCTCTTTTGCAAACGTAACCTATTTAGTTTGATTCAGCTTCACTAGAGCAAGAGGCTGGGTTTAATGCTCTGATGGCTGTCTTTTAGCCTAATCTGGCCTTGGCTATCTTTGTTTAGATTAAATTGAACATATTTCTAAATTGCGTGAACTTAATAAACCCCATTGGTTTTCATGCCAATGGGCTCTGGGTAGTTGGATTTGGAACTAAATTTTCCCCTGTATCTTCTTTCGACCTAGATCCATTGTTATACCAACACATTGTATCCTAATAACGAAACCGAAATGGGGGCGTGTCTCAAAATTATAAGAAAAATTATCACCTCTATCATAAACGATTGATTGGCTTCAAGATCGCTCGGAAACAGATAAGAAAAGGAAATTTGTGATGCAAGTACCAAGGGAAAGCTAAACCAAGAGTTTCACACCAATCTTGGTTTCAATCAGGGAAAGTAAATTTTAACACCTACCCGCAACGATTCTATAGAGCTAACAGTCCCTGACTGCGGAGTAGATGGCGATGTCCATCACACAGTACACAACTGTTCCCTCTTTAAATGGAAAATTTTAAAGCTTCTCTTCTACCACAGCTGGCCAGTAATTCTTAACAAACTACTCATAGAAAAGAGTACATTGAGTACATTTGAGGGTCCAAAAGATTTATCTGGCATAGCACCTTGCTATTTTTTTAAGTTTTACTGATAATCAGGTAACGTTTTGGATTTAAGCGCTCCCCTGAACTTTTAACTTCAGGCTGGTTACTCCTTGATTAATAGTTCATAATTGTATTAGATAAAAAATTCAAAAGAAGTAATCAGGAAGGGAATTATTGGAATACCTAATTAAATTAATAATAATTTTAAAAAATTAATTCGGCATAGAAAGATGGTTAGTTGCTGTGTTCCGCCGGCAAGGGTACGGTGAGAAACTGGAATGGGGGAAAAGGGCTTAAATTCAGTTTTATCTGAGTACAATCTTGCATTACTTTACTATCCACTTTCCTTTTCCTAAGTGGTGAAAATGTCCATTTATATTGCCCTGATCTTTTTCGCCTGTGGGAGAGGGTGCTTTCAACGTTATGAAGACCACATTCCTTTCGTATAACCTCATTAAACCTTACATCCTCAGTACAAACCTCTACTTTCTTCGAAATCACAGACTATTCCATTTCGAATGGCCAAATATTATTTCACACGATAATTGCGCGTAAAACGATAACAAAGTTGATAACAGTAGGCTGTTGGAAAGAATTCTCCTATGAACAATCCAATTATGTGATGTGTATATTTTGCTCTAATTACACCGTTTTATAATTCTTGCCTTTTGAAATAATTATAATAGTTATTTTCGAGTTCTGCACGTTACACCTGAGGTTCAGGAGCGGAGATGAAGGCGTTCATCTGGGCGGTATACTTGTTCTCCGGGTCGTACATCTCGAGCAGCTTTTTCCAGTCGTCAGGCCTCCTCGTGACGAAAATTGTCAAGACGTGGTGCAGAAGTTGCTTTTGTCTAGGGCTGCAATCGCCACAGACAGTGGAAAAGACGTGAGATATTTTGCCTGAAACAAAAACCAATTGTTTTGTTTTTTTCATCATCATATTAAGTTCAAAGCATTTTGGGAGTTTTGGACATTTCTGATCATTTTGGTCTTTCTATTTATTCTCGCTGTTTTGGTCTGTGTTATCTGACAGATAAAAACAACGAGGTAACTCCAACCAACATGTTCGAAAACGACCAAGACACAAGTTTATCATCCCACTTACTACAAGAAGAAATCTCACAATATACATATTATTATAGTAACAAAAGTTCAAAGGAATGATGATAATGAATAGTCTAAGTAAAAGGACATATTAGCCAATATGTAAATCAACAATAAACAGAACATCTGTAAAGATCACTGATGCCTCAAAACGTCCAACACAGCTGTCAAACAACACAATGTTCAAAGTTTTTTCAGACACATGAACCATAGCCATGACAAGAAGAAGTGAAAAGTCTCACAGGTCTCTCCCAATCCCGGCCCAATGTAGGCCACCAGCTGCAACAAACGTCTCACTCAAATTATCCCTCCGAGGACCCTCAAAACCATGGCAGGTCTCCCGTGAATGGTGTGCATGTCGTGCCAGCCATCCACAACGTTTTAGGAGCCTAGGGTCATTCGAAATTTCAGAAAGCCTATCCCCGAACGAGGCAGTTAGTTCTGCGTTAGTTTCTATTGAGAAAAATAAATATAAATGTGTAGTTTGTTAAACTGTATTGATAATATTCTAAGGATCAAAGAGGTTGTAATATTTTTATGTTGAGCATAATAATCGTTTAATGCGTATAATAATAAATAAAAGAGCTATATGTCGTAACGTGTAAAGAAACTTTAAACGTGAAATTCTTGCAAGACGGCTGAATGTTAAGTAAACATATCAACTCAACGTATTTAGAATTACCAAGTAAAAGCAAAGTAAATATTCACTTAACGTCGTTATAATCGGGGTTGGTGATTAAAACGTTTCTGCATATCCGGAATCCTCAAAGTTTGTCCGAGGTGTGTGTGTGTGTGTGTTGGCCCAAGATGTATGATCATGTTGAAAATATGTCTTTCGTTTTTGTACCTTTGACTCTTTCTGCTCGGGAACTGCATGCGCCTGTGTTGAAGAAGCACTTGAGATACGAATTCAGAATAGCATCGTTTTTGATGACAGAGTCGATATCAACGCTTTCGTCGAAGACGTAGTCGTCCTCTGCCTGGACGAGGCAGAAGACAAGCAGAATGGAACAGACGAGTCGATGCAACATGATTCCAGTCTGATGACAGTGGCGGTTCAGCAAGGACGACTCGTTTTTATACAAATAGGAGAATTCAACAGTCTGTAATTTCCTTAAGACCCGAGCATTGCCGGCTAAATACCAGTTATGGACCTACCCGGTCGTTATCTCCCTTGTCCAACCATTCATTTCTCAAACGCAATATCAATTGTTAAGTTAAACTTCTAAAATGGCAGAATCGTCACACTGATTTTTCAATTTTTTTCCGATTTTATACTAAATTGGTGGTGTTTGTTTGGACATGAATTCATTTTCCTTATGCTCACTATTCCTTCTATATTAATCCATCCAACTTGTATTTCCCACGCTTTTCTTTTTTTACCTATTTATTCCATTAACCAGTTAATTTTTTTCATTTTATTTGTCAATTACAAATAGTAGTTCTTCTTGTATTAACGGGAGAAAAACAGGACGGTGGCTAAAAATCTCAACGGTTTGTCGGGATTCGTATCAGATTATCATTACAATCAACGTTTCAAATGCCAAAGTAAGCGGCTTTTGTCGGAAATCCGCCCAAAATCACTTTGATCTTCAAGATTTGTCATAGTCTCGATGTAAGCAAATATATCTGAAATCAATAAATTACGGAGTCTGCAAAAGTTAGTTAGTGAATAAAAATGAATAGTTTTGGACAATGCATTTTGGCGAAGTCCAGAAGTTATAAGCACATGTTGGCAAAACAATTGTGAACTTTGATCTTCTTAGGTTGAGTAAAAAACAAAAATATTGCACCTTCATCGACAACAAAGAAAATCGATAGTAAACGCATTCAGTAAGACACATTAAACATAAGCAAAGTGGAGTCAGCATAATGCATCACCTTACTTACATTGAATTCGCGCTATAAATCTTTGGTTTACAGCCAATTTGTCACAAAGTTTCGCGTTATGGGGAGTGCGCACGAGTTAAGCCAGGTTAGGTTGAGTTAAGTTAGGTTAAGATCAGTATGAGGGTTTAGTTCAGTCAGGTTAGGCTAGGAAGAAAATCTCTAGTAAAGCTGTGCTTTCAGTAAGGCACATAAAGCATTAAAAAAAAGTTTACAGTATATTGCCTCGTCTTACTTATAACTAAGAATTCGAGCTGTGCAGCTTTTGTTTACTGCGAGCTAGTTTGTTAGGGTTGGCGTAGGTTAGGTTAGAATTGATTAGGTTAGGGTTAGAGTTGGAATTGGCATTTACGTTAGGTTTGGTTACGGTTAGATTAGATTAGGCTTAGATTACATTTCCATGATTCAATGAAGCGGAGAAAATGTGAGAGTGAAAACCATGAGTTCTTTTGGAATCAATGCAAAAAAAACCCTAAAATGTACTTGGAAAATTAATTTTTACGTTGACGTGTGAATACTCAGTTTGTCGTGCACTTACTTTATTTTATGGTATTTTCCTTCTTTTAAATAATTTCAAGATTTCCGAGACCTCCTACTCCATTTCTGTGCTTATAAAATACTGCGCACTAAGTACGTACGGAAATCCTATTAGCTGAGTTTAACTTTTTTTTTTGTAAATAAGGGTTTATTGTCTTGTAACTCGTGATCGCAGTACATACAATCCGATTATCGGCTTATGAAATATGGAGGAAAATATCAAAGGATGGTCTAGACCGTAACACAATCAAATCGTTTGATTGGCGAGCTTTCGGTGATAATCATCATTGATATCATCAAAACATTGTCAATAAGGTTATATGCACATACAAAAATTTACTGACTTGGATGAGATAATTTCTATTTTAAGCTCTCAGTCATTTGAAATGTTTTTTTTGTTTTGAGATTAATAAAGTCTCAATTAATTTGTATTAAAAGCTAAAACGAGGGTTCTTATAGCTTTTAAAGTCTCTTGAACCGATTATGCTTTTTGTTTCTTAAAAAGGGCCAGAACATCCAACTGGAAATGGTTTAAAGTTGAGAAGATGTTCTCCAAAGGGTTTCAGTAACTTGTAATAGCTTTTAGCATTCTATGTTATCGTTAAAGTGTTGAAGTCTTAGACAAAAGAGCAATTATACCTAGGCCTTTCGGGCAAGGTACGTTGTTTTAAAGCACATTGAAGCTTTTGCGTTCTTCACCTAACTTTAAAACGCTCTTGACTTGACATTCTAATCGAATCTAAAATAAATAATTAATGCTTTTAGAGAGAAATATATTTAAGATAAATGTACGCATTATTTTAGGTAAAATACTTATTATTTGAAATTATGCTATGTATAGTATATGAATGAGCTTAACTGTTTTAAATTGCGCAAAAATAAATAGTGATATTTGTAATTTATTCGTATTCTATTAATTTCAATTAAATTAACCAATTTATTCTTGTTATTTGGTTAAAACAAAGTAGAAAATACAAACCAAAAACAAACAAATGTTAATCCTCAGTTTTAATAACGGATATACTTAAGAATAGTAAACGTGAAGATTACTCATTTTGTAAGCAAACACCTTTTCTCGTCTTTTCTCCATTTTAATCCAGTTGTATTCTCTTCAACCATGGAAAGATCATCTTGAACCAGAAATTTGCAATATTATTGTGAGAATGAGGTCACCGCCAAGTGGATGGAGGCCAGTAGTTTCTGGTGGAGCGCGGTCTCTCGAGAGACTGGAAGGAACTTTATCCAGGCCAATAGGACGCCTGGTAATGGATCTCAACGCATTACGTTAAGGGAGGACAGAAATACTGTAACATCAATAATGTTGATGTTTTGCAAGGCTTTTATCAACATAAACTACACGAAATCGTTTGTGGGAAGTTGGCTTCAAATCGTATGCCCCTTTGTGATGACGAGCAGCACGAGCGCGCCACTAGCAACTCAGGAGAATATGGTGCAGCGATCGCCTAGAAGAGAACACCAATTGGAATGCTGTTACGTTTCTGTCTGTAATGTGATAGCATGCGCCGAAGAGTCTACCGAGATGGGATGCGTACAATGCCCCAGTTCGCGCTCCCTTCAGTGCAGTTTGGAGGAAGCCGAGTAGAGTCTGGGCTGGGATTTACACTGGAGGACGAACTGGACTCCATATTGTTGAAGGCGACCTCACCGCAGTCCATTATGTCCAAGACGTTATAGAGGAATACACCCCTCAAACTACGGATCTCATTGGCAGGGATTTTCGATTTCTGGATGACAATGCCAAACCTCATAGTCAGAGTTGTTCATCAATAATTTCGAAAACATGGAAATTTTCCATCTGCACCTTTCCCCCATTTTCTCCAGACCTCAATCCTATTAAGCCAATGTGGGATGCGTTGTAGAGAAGGCTTTTCGATCACCATAGCCAGTTCACCTGCAACAGCTGAGTACAGATGCAACATCTATGAGTAAAATTACTTATGAAATTAGTGACAACCTTATGAACATATGCCTAACAGGTGCAGAGAGGTTTTAGCTAACAGAGGACATTATACACGTTATTAATTGTTTTTATTTTAACCAATTATTGTGTCCAATAAACAGAACTATTAATACATACAATAGCTGGAATTAAAACCTTTTATTTTGATATTTTTCAAAATCCCCTAATTTTCCTTCAGTAAAAAAAACATAATTTCTAACAAATTTTAATGCAATTTATAAGACAAATAAAATTAAAATTCTAGGCAAAGTAAATACTACAAAATTGGCTATATTGCTATTCATTTTTGAGCAGTTTATATAAGCTCATTGATGCACACGCGTGAATGTATAAAGTTGAGCCTATTACTTCTCGCAATTCCAGTTTTTGTAATTGACAATAAATTACCGGTATATCTCAAGAATCATCCACCACGCATGTTGGTCCGGGGTCAGACTTCGTCTCCAGGCGCTCCCAAAGCTATGTCATTTTAGCCTCCAAAGCAATCAATTCCTAAAACCAAATCAATTCACTCTATCACTTGTTCTTAAATACCTTCTTTCTTATTTCATACCATTCACTCATTTAGAGTGATGGATTGTTTCATATTCCTTTTCACCCTGTACACCTATTATATAACTAACCTAATTGAGGTTTGATGGTGTTATGAATATTCTGCCATCGACCTTCTCGCACTACACGTTCACGTCAATAAATACACTCACTCTCAACTCTCTCTAGGGACACAAAACTATCAGTGTTAGTAGTAGTAGCATTATATACCATAAAACAACACTGTTTCCTCCAAAAATCGGAACAGGGTCATACTCTCGGATACTCACTGCCGAGATACAGATTCGGGTGGCATCCCTACACGCCTTCTATATAGCGCCAAGGAGTTGCACCCTTCAACTACATGGAACACATCAAGAAACCTTTCTTTGCCGGACAGAAATAAGCTGTTATAATTAATATTTCAATATGAAATTCAGTCATACGACCAACTATATTTATTGCAAACACGATTCAAATTTATTTTCCTCGTGTTGTAAATTGTTCAAGAGTCGGAATAGATTTTTCTCAAGAGAATACTTAGATCTTAATTGAAAGATGCATAATTAAACAAAATGGGTGTCTCCGTCACGTTGAATTATGTCCTTTCAATCAGAAAAAGATCAAATGTAGACCTGGCTTCAAATAGAAATTTGTATAATTTTCATATAACAAACGGTTCATTCTACCTAATGAATTTGACTCTCAATTAACAAAAATTAACAAAAAGGTGAAACTTCTCTTATTATTCTCATATAAAAATAAATAAATAATATATATANTATATATAACATTCGCCTTTATTTACCTCTTTATTTTCAGATTGAAATAATATTTTATTAAAATATTTAAATCGACGTAGTGAACATATGTTTGTGTTTTCCGGACGTCAAAATGTAAATTCCATCCCAGTACAGCACATGTATCATAATTGATAGTAATGAATATTAATAGCAGGATATTAAGCACATTTATTAACCGAGAGGGAAACTTGCCGTGCATAAAGGTAATGAGAACTTTTTTGTTGTTCTTTTCTGTGTAATTGTAGGTCTTTAGTCGTTACAGTGGTTTGATTTAATTGATAGGCAGGGTGATCCTTAACGCGAGCCTTTGGAAGGACAAAATTG